TGCGAAGCTGCTGCAACTGTTCGCCACCCAGAACTTTTTCCGGCGAAGTGAACGCTGTATTCTTCCGTTCACATACGCACGCACAACTGCCTCCGATAAGGAGGTATTGACTTTGATTCACATTCACGGGCTAGACATTTGACGATTGATGTTTTTCTACCCGTTTTAGGATCCTGAATGTTTTACTTCCTAAAGTGAATAATGTAAAGAGAATATTAACGTATCTAAAGTCATTTTCTCTCCTGCCTTGAAGGAAGGCTATTTCTAAAACCAGCGAAAAATCAGAATTTCCACGTGAATGATTGTGATGGTCCTGGTTAGATGATCATTCTAAAATCGAATCCGGATGAAAGTGATGACATGGAATAATCAGTAAGGTATCCACAGCTCACTTACAAGTGAAACAGGTTCTTACAACAATTACGTCTACTTGACTTCTCTGGGAAACATCCTAGTGGCTAAGCTGAGGTTAAAAGGAGTGGCAAAGTGCACCTATCGAAACGAGGTACCTGTGTACTAGCACTATGCTCCGTTCCGTTGGTCTCGCAACAATGCCAGAACAATGAAGCGTTATTTCAGTTTTCACTGAGGATCATTGATTTCGACTCACTGCTGCTTTGTGTAGGGCACTTGCAGACAATTCCCCGCCACTATCGTGGATGAGTCACTGTGCAATGGAAAGCTATGTAGAGGGAGAATGTTTTGTTGGATTGAATGAATCATCGTCGCCATCCCTTGACCAGCTGCCCACGTGCCTGCATTAACCAAACATCGGAATGGAAAATAGACTTGTGGATGTAGAAAAGAGGGGAGAAAGGAGGTTATGGCTACGGATCGATGGGTACAACGGTGGTACCTGTCCCGTTTTTTCGTTTGTGTGCGTCCCTCTTGATCACGTGATTTTGTGCGGGATTTTTTTATCATACAATAAACACAATCGGCGAAGGATACCCAAGTGTTTTCATTGAAAAAGATAGCAACGTCGATTTACGTCATTGCTTTTAATACGTTTCATTAAAATCGCTTTTTCCGCCTTAACAGACCATAGTCTGGAATCGTAGTAGGCTACAGTGTTGTCAAGGGAAGTAGTGGGTGTTGTCGCTGAATCTCTGAGCTAACATATCATTCCCCTTTATGCAACGTCACAGACCGCCAATGTATGAAAAGGAATAACCGACTGACTTGCAATGGCACCACTGAGACAACGAGACACTCAACATCCTTTTTACAAAATGATTATCCGCATTAGCTCGAAAATTCATCTTGTCAACTAAACATTCGCTGATTTTCAGGCAATCAGGTCAGCTAAATTGTCTGAGGAAAATGTATATTGTATTGTGATTTGATCACGTGGCTTATCCTTAAGTATAACAGCCGGTTCCCTAGTGGTAGTTTGTGCACCGAGTGAGCTCGGCTACGGATTTTTTCCCGTATTTGCAGTCTTCCGTAACATTTCTCCTTAACTACTCTTGGAGCGAAGGATAATTTTGACCTCCCGTTGTTGACCACCGTAGTTTACCGTTCTGATTGCAAGTTATTAGAGGTTATACGCAAAAGCAAGCCAAGAAACCTTTGACCGAAATGCTACTTTGAACACATTTTACATGTTTAATTGGGAGACCTTCAAATAAATATGACTTTGCCGTCAAACCTTGGATTGCTCAATATTGCCCGTGAACAAGTAGTACACTATGCATGCGAATATGTTCCGTTTGGACGTGTTTGAAAAGTTTCACTGCGTAAAATTCGGCACAAAAATTATCGACCAATTTTCCATATGCCTTGTTTGCCTGCGAATCAGCTGACCAATTAATGTTGCCATATGAAGTCAGCAAATAACGAATGTCGGTTATCCGAACCTACCACACGTGATGTGGTCACACCAACTAGCTGTTTGTGGCGCTAGTCGGAAGAACCGGCGCTCACGACCTGCGTCTGTTACGCAACCAAAGCGGTGCGCATAGAATAGCTGGCTTCAAAGTAGAACTGTTGTCTGAACCTGTCCAACTTGGGGGTGACGAAGGCGTTCCATCTCGTTTTTCGTGTCCCGAAATGGATTACAGTTTACTTTTTTTCGGAAATAAACGTTGCGCTAAACGTTTTACTTCATCCAAGTTTGACGCCAACTTCTGTTAATATTATAGAACTCATAAAACTTCAGCACAAGAATGTATCTGGTTGGTTGGGACAATATGTTGAGTTCCACAGGCCACCCGTTTTGTGGAAAAATTCACTGTGTGCATTCATTTGCAAATGATGTGTAACCGATCATTTCTATTATATCGTTACCGTTCCAGAGCATCGCCTAACATCATACCAATTAGGCTTTTATTGTAATATGGCGATCTGCTACAATCGTGGTATTTTTCGTTACAAGGAGATTACGTTCTAAAAACACTGTTGATCCAACTAGCAGCAATTAGGCCAAAAAATCCCCCAGTGGAATCAAAGTAGCAGTGATTACAATAGTCAGAACATTGTGATACAAATTTGTCTGCGGGCTCCGCATTGTTTTGCATATTTAGTAGCAATGGGCCGGTCGACTCGGTGGCCATCATAACGCAATCAGCGTCTTCGCTAACAGGAATCTTGGAGTTGACGAGGCAGGTGACGACGCGTGCATCTTGTACAAGGAGTTTACGTTCTAAAAACACTGTTGATCCAACTAGCAGCAATTAGGCCAAAAAATCCCCCAGTGGAATCAAAGTAGCAGTGATTACAATAGTCAGAACATTGTGATACAAATTTGTCTGCGGGCTCCGCATTGTTTTGCATATTTAGTAGCAATGGGCCGGTCGACTCGGTGGCCATCATAACGCCATCAGCGCCTTCGCTAACAGGAATCTTGGAGTTGACGAGGCAGGTGACGACGCTGTTGTGCATCTTGCGCCCTTATGGGAAGCTAAACCCCAATACAACACACAAGAAGTATTTCTAATCACCTAAAGTGGTGACTCTCAACTCTCCGTCGAACAGGAAATGCCCCACTGAAGATGCCCATTGGTCGAAAAAGTTGGGAACATGGTAGCTGTCACCAGCATTGACTTGAAAACGGCCTTAGATACATGTTTCGCGGAGAACACGTTCAGCCAGTCTTTTTCTCCGTTGTACATTCAGGTTATCGTTCATCCTGAGTGTTCATTCCGCTCGAAATGAAACCATTCAGCATGCTCCAAAACGGTGTTGAAGACTTCTAGGTATAAACTATTTAATCAGTGGGAATCTTGTCACATAAGTGAGACCAATCTAAGATGAATTACTGAGAAGGGCTGTACGGTCGTTTCGTCTTAATAGTCAGCAGTGTTCACCTGACAGAACTATTGTGAGTTTCGGAACAGTGACCTCTCGCTTATAGTCTGAACACAGCCGCTAAACCAGAAGCAACTGATCAACAGTGGCTTTACAAGAAACTGTCCATATTTATCTGGCGTTGCAAGAGGACTTACGCCAGTAAAAGTGGCATCATCGTAGGGAGAGATCTCGGTTCCGACTTAAGTGGCCATGTGACGGTGGACAAACTTCCATGAATGTGACCTTCATTTGGACATTTGGTTGCCTTGGTATGGTATGCTCATACTGTAATGCGAACTGTGGTCAGTAGCTGCGTATTTATTAAGAAATGACACTTAATCTCACACACCAGACAAAAAAGACTGTGAATCCTCAGGATAACTTGACTATTCTAAAGTGTTGTCGTTCTTCGAATACTTTCCACTGTTTCATTACGTCAGAAAAAGAAAGGAACAAATAAACCACTCCTCCTTTTCATGGAAGAATATTCAAGAGTACTGTCCCGTAGTTCAATGGGTTTTGTTTACCTGAAGGTGAGGACAGTAATAACTCTTTTTTTCATCAATTTATTTTCAGAGTTAGAAAACGGCCATGAAGATTAACTTAGACTCTGTTGCCCATGTTTTCGTTAAGTTCAAACACAATAGTAAGTTATCTATAGAGGAAAATGTCGGTAGCTCAGGTAGCGTAGATGGTCGTTGGCTTGTTCGCTGAGCTGGGCAATTTGGTTGCAAACGTTTCATCACCAATCGAGGTGACATCATCAGTGCGTAGTTGTGTGTAGCGGTGGGTTAGTGGCGAACAAGCCAACGACCATAGTAAGTTATTTACTTAAATTCTGGACAGAAGCATTTCTTTGTATGTGGTACTACTCATAAGGTTGCTGAAACTCCATCGACAGCCCACGACCGGTTTCGCCCTTCTTGGGGCTCATCAGGTAGGCGCAGCCCCCGGGTTTCCGTCAACCTTGACGACAGCTAGCGTCCCACAAGCCGCCGCCGTGCTTTTCCAAAATACACAAAATCGATCTTATCTTTGTGTGCTTTGATCCTGTGAGTAGGTGACATTATTCAGCGATTCGCAGCTTCAGAGTAAATGCACTTTGCATACCCATCCTCTTTTACCAGTTGGCCGAAATGGACTGGTGAGGTGAAACGGGAGCTGTGAATCTTTAGTATAAAGTCATCAGTCAGTACTACTACGGTTTGTAAAAAGACTAAGAACGTGTTCTGTACAACGTAGGTAATGAAACAATGGATTGGGAAGATGATCAACTAAACACATGGCTGGCTTAACGTGAATTAAAATATTCTGACATTGACATCAATACATTCTTGCAGGAGAATGTTGTGCCGCATGTCCGCTGCCTATCGCATAATAATGGTAATATGTGAACAACTAAGTGAGACTGCTGCACAAAGACTGTATGATTTCTTTGGAAAAAAAACTTTCCGTAGGAAATGGCACATTGCCCCATTAACGCACAGTGGACGCCCTATGGGGAGGGTACCAATGTGCCTTTATTTCATGTAGTCCACCTATAATGCAGATAAAAATTAGGGACAACTGACAGGTTCCGGAGAATGGATATATTTACAGAAGATCTCAATACGGTACGCAGTACCTCACTATATCTCACTCGTCTCGTTAAACGATGACTTCTCTTGATAAACAAGTTATTTGATCACCGGCCCATCTGAAATTTTCAGCTTTCTACCCAAATCCACACTACAATTTGAAGCTGTTAGAGAGAAGGCATTTCAGAAAATATTGTCCTTATTCATTATTTTCGCTTTATCTCAAAATAAAGGTGCCTTCCTCATACCCTACACGTTGATGTTACTACTTCTTGGGCTCCCCCTTTTCTTCCTCGAATTCGCATTTGGACAATTTGCCAGTTTGGGACCAATTTCGGTGTGGAATGTCAGTCCGCTTTTCAAAGGTAAGCATCCCCCCAAACGCCATCTGCATTGAGTGGTCTCGCATTTTAAACGTTACTTTTTGAAGAACTAGCTGGTTATTGTTGTAATTCCTTTAAACAACGGTTAGGACTCATCTTTATAACTTTAGAGCGTCCTTCGCCTCCTTGAAATGGTCATATGAGTGGCACTGTCTAAGCGTTAAGCAGCTAGGAAACGCTTCATAGCCTGTCACATCCGGCCATTTGTTTCATTTGTTCGTCCTTGGTGTCTCTGAGAAGTTTCCAATCGAGTGCTGTGAGTGTGTGTACAAGAAACGATGTGACTTTTGTGAAGGGTTACTATGTTATTATTATATTATTACTAATATAGCACTTTCGCCACGTCGCTTTTCAGCATACTTTAAACGTTTATGCCGATAGGCATTTCACCAATTTTCATGCACTTCTGGATGAGGACACGCGCCAGCTAAGTTGTGCAATTATAGCTCTACTAGAATCTTTACACATCTGACACCCTAGAATAGTACAGAGTTTCATCAGCTGGGTTTGGGATTGCGGGCTTGCCACTCCTAAACCTAGTATAATGTAGCAGAGACCAACCGGCTGTGGAATAAAAACTGCGTACTTCTTTTTTATCGTTTTGAAATATGACATATGGCAGCCGAAAGTAATAATAATCAATTCAATGTTTTGATGCACTCAGGTATATCCAGATGAATCCTAGAAGACTCACAGATAGCACAAAACCTCATCAGCTAAAACTAATTTTCTTTGTACGAATTTCATTATCTGGTTTGATTAAATCGAACCTTTCGTCACACAACGTACTCATACTGTATTGACGACCAATACAAACGGGCTTAATCTGAGCTTATGCGATTCAAATGCATTAATTAAATTCTCTATACTTCAGAAACGGTAACGTTTCTGAACGGGTAAGCGTTTAAGTTTATACCGACTACTGCTGTCAGATCTGATGCACTCATAGCCGAATTCGAGGCAAAACCCATCGCTTTTATCGCGTACACCAAGGTAAACCTCATGGAAGAATGAATTTCTCTGCTATTGGGTTGTAGACTTATTCCTAAAACTAACTGGAATGGTCCGGGTGATGTTAGAAGCTTTCTGAGTTAAGATCAACATGGGCAATTCTGTCAACCACTGGTCTGAGAGGCTATCATCTCAACCAATCTGTTCCTAAGCCCGATACTGCTATACCGGTTAGGATGAACAAACGTGTTGTGTGGTCGTATGTTCGCGGTTTGATGAACCAAAGTAGTCCCAGCATTTGCCGCTGCGCTTCTGAAGTTTTTAGGCGCCTATTCACTTGCTTTACGGTCTGTGAAGTCGAAAGTTGTACAGTAGGTTTTTAACTTATGTTTCTACAGAGGTCTCCAAGTTCGGAAACGTTATCTTATCCTGATAAATAAATAAATTGACAAATAAATGAATATCCTAATAAGTCGAGGTAGTTCTGTAACGGGATGTGTTGTGTGCAAAGGTAATTTGCAAGCCAGTCGCCCAACAGGACGAAGAGCCTTTGATATGCTCGATATGCCTGAAATTCCCACAGTAGTTACTAGTACACACGTGAATGAATCGGTTCAACGTAACTTGAATCCTGCTTCCAACCCATAAATTCTCTAGATACACCTCAGAACATTTTTAGGAAATTTGGATGAGATTGTCTCCAGTGTTTTTTCCGAATTCTGCCTTGATTCTGCTGTGATATGACTTTTTCAGTGAATGGCTGAGTAGAACTCTGTAAATGTTTCAAACCGATTAAACGTTATCATCAGTGAACACTGATGACTACTCTTAACAAATATGAAGCAGCCGTACAGAGCCTCTTCACCTTTCGGAATAAGCCGACCTTGGACGATGAAACCCAAGGAATTTTGGTGTTATAACCCCGTATAGTCTGCCATGTGAGGCTATTCATCCTTAAGGGCAATGATCAGGTAGACTTGGAGTGGGTCATTCACATGATTTACTGCTCAACAGTTGGGTTAATCAGCAGAGGGTTGGCCACTCCCATTTAGAAGGCCTGCAGTGCCACACACTCCTCAGTTGCCTGGATATAGCAAGGTATATAGCATATGCAGCATACAGTGTTTCCTCGGGTGATTTGGAAATTCCAGGATAAAGACTCAGATGACCTATGGGATGTTTTGCTTTCTGACCAGTGAACTTGGCGATTTTGGGTGCGGCTTGTCGAACTTGTTTGCTCTTCGTAAACCATAACTCAAGCGAACCATCATCAGACAGCTTGTTTCCAACATAACTTGCTGTTATCTTGATGATTTAACGTGTTTTTTGGCCTCATTGAACTGGAGATCCTTATTTCCTCTTTTGAAGACGGTGTATTTCATCATCTGTTGGAGGAAAAGATAAATTGATGTGGACTGGGACGTGACGTACCACTCGTAAAGCTCCATAGTCGGTAGAGTTGCTCACACTCTGTGAATCACATTGGTTGAATGGTTTGCTACTCATTTGTACTGTCCCAGCTAGTGACTGAATTAAACAAAGGAAAAGATCAGGTTTCGAAGCTTCAAAAATCTACATACTCGTGGAAAATGCGCTATCCTCCGTGGCCTAGGCGTAATATGTTACGTTCCCCCTGTTTTTTTCCAAAGCCATTGTCACCATGTTGTCACCATCCTTAAAGTGAGTTTCATTGTCACCCGTCAACCAATAGATCAGTCGGCACCGATTGCTAAGGTTGACAGCCTCATCTTCTAACTGAACCTACATACCGCTGAATAAGGGAAGGTTTATTAGAAACGTTCTTGTCAACTAGTAGCTGATGAAAGTGATCGAACGATAAGTTTCCACCCAAACACACAGCCAGCAGTTTATCTGGTCCCTTTATCCTACCTATAAATCCCGCCTTATTTACTTTCGGGTGACACGCAGTACCAGATCCTTAGGTAAAATAAGACTGACGCCGCGTTTCTGACTTCTCCTCCCCAAGGTTACTGCCGAAACTGCTCCCGATTCACTACACGTAATATACTGAAAAGTATTGGTTATTACAACCTCAAGGCGCCCTCCTGTTGGCTTTTTTTCTTTTAAATGATACATCAACCAATGTTCTACTAGGCTGCTGTTTGTCCAGTCCAAATTGGTTTTCTTTGCTCCGAAACAGGATTACCAAACTGAAAAATCGGTCCACCTCCTAGTCTTTTCGGCTGAATATCCCAACGGTCTTGATTTGCCTTATGCCGCGTGCACTTCGAGACTTTTTATTGATCATCGCAGCTTTTCTGCTGATAAGCAAATGATCCCAAAGCAGCACCGGTAAATACAACTCCTCTCGTAGTAGGTACGACGAGAATGTATTCAATCGATTAAGGGATCTTTATTTTTGCCCGTTGGAACTCAACATTTTATCCCCCATAACGCCATTTCATTGTTTGTCACTGCCTGAGTCGTACCATAACAGGTTTTCCCCTGATCTTGTGCAAAAAAATTACGTTCTGAAGGTGCGATTATTTTGGGTTAGCCAGAACATTTTCAACGAACGTTTTTAACCACTTTGACACAAGAGACAAGCCCACTGTGCAGGACTTAGCCAACAAAAAACTCGTCTTTTGTGTACAGCACCAAATAGGGCCACTTGACACTTCCGCACGCTCCTAATCCAAACTACGCATTCGTCGATCGTTAGAAGCGATCCGATGCTCGCAAAATGGGATGCCATTATCACTGCTCTCAAAGATCGTTGCTTTCCTGAAAACTATCTTGTGACTTTGTGATAATATTTTATTGGAAATTGTGCACCTTTCCGTTAACCAACAGTCGCAGCACTCTCCGTGTCTCTGAAAATGCATCCGATTGTACCATAAAGCCACCAATGATCTGAACTGGCTCACAATATAAGACCTGATCCGTCCGGGAAACACAACCTCGATGATAAACTAATCTAACTGCATTGCCAAAATAGGGTGGAAAAATAACTGCGATAACCGGTAAAAAGTTATTTGAGTTATGATTGTCACTGATGGATTCAGGCAAACTGGGCACATCTCTCTGACTGTAACCCAATGGGTGTGGTTAGAAGCGTCAGTCATGTGACTACCTGTTCGTCTGAAAGCCATGTGACCAAGATAGGCAACACCAATTTAGTGCACTGGACTTACAAAGTGCGCTTTGTTCTCGGTGGCTGTTGCCTTTTCGGGTGACTTGACTGCAGAGAATATTCAAATTTTTTAAAACAGTAATATCTTTCTCCTTTGGGTAACACAGAAAGAGGACAACAACTGTGGGTTAGAATCATTTCAAACGGGTTCCTACAGTGAAAAGCGACGAAGAAAGTTGGTCAGAGGGGCTTCTGAAGTCTGACACAATGTTGAAGTAAATTCATCCATTCGAATAAACCAGGCAAGCTTTATGCAATCACCAACCGATGGTGTTCGCTGCTGAATAGGCAATAAAGCTCCATCGAATTTCAAAGCTAACGAATATGTCGCATCAGAATGCCACATCATCTGTTTACACTACCTGTCCACATTGATCACACCTTGCCTGAAGGTCAAGTGAATCTAACTTGAGGCTATAGGATAGAACCCCTATTCTAAAACGAAATTTCGTCCTGTAAGTGAAGAACCTCTGCTGAAAACCGAGAATTACTGTACGGCTGTTTCATTGAGAAGCATTGGCCGTGCGCATCACACAAAATTCCAGGGAGTCTCGAACCCGTGACTTCTCAGTCGAACGCTTAAACGTTCATGGCTCTCGTGTCCCGACGGTTAATTGCTTGAACTACAAACCAGAAAGTCGAATAAACGAAAATCCCTGGAATTTCCTGCATTGCTGACTTTTCCCAATATTGATAAAACAACTCCTCAGGGTTCTCGGCTTTTCAGTAAGAGTGGCCTCGTTTTAAAAGACGACATTTCTATTAGCATTTAAAAATCTCACGCTCCAAACAGAAAGCCTGACGTTGGGTCTCAGGCGCACCTCTCTTTGTGGTTGCCGAATAAAACCGATAAGTGACCAAACCTCATCAATTTCAA